AAAAAACAAATCTGTATAAACAAAACAATGAAATGTGTAGCATGAGTTTCTATTCATGCAACCCCTGCCATAATATTGTAGCATCAAGTTTTGCTGGAGTCACAGCTGTGAGGTTTCTTTGTTTATGTTTCTTGCAGCTTTGGACAGGCAGCCAGTTTTTAGTCTGGTTGGACGGAAAGCGCCCTTTAAAATAGTTTTGAAGTTCTGCCTCTGATTCTCAATTGGATTGTTGTTAAGGCTTTGGCTGGAGCTTTCTAACATATGAATCTAATTTGATCTAAATGATTCTATGGAAGTTTTGGCTTTATGTTTAAGGTTGTTGTCTTGCTGGAAAGTTAAACTTCGCCTTAGACTTAAACTAGTTTTCCAAAATTGTCCAGTACTCAGCACCATCCGTCTGGCCATCCGTCCTCAAAACATAGAGATAATATTTTTAGCATAATGTGCCAGCTTGTTTTTTCCTGCTACATGTACTGTTTTTCTTGTAAGTTCATGTTGGTCTCATCTGACTAGGACACATTTTGAGTGTTTGCCGTGTCCCTTACATTGTTTTTGGCAAACCCGTAACACAAATTCTTATACGTTGCTTATATAGGTTATAGCTTTTTGAAACCCAATGCTTTCCTCTCCCAATGTCAGCTTTTTAGAGGGCACAATTAGAAGCTTTCCTGTCAAAAACTCTGGCTACTTACCGGCCTCTCCTTGCACATCCAATTGAGTTTGCTTGAATTGCAAAATCTTGTTTCCATTTTCTAAAGATGGATCTTATACAGATCTCATGTAGATAATTACATTTTCGAATATTGTTTCATAACCTAATCCTTACACCAGGAGAGGATTTATTTAGGGGTATCAGATTGAAGGGGGGCTGAATTCTAAATGCAAATCATACTTTTCAGATTTTTATCTAGAGCATGAACCAACTACTTTAAAAATATGCATTATTTTGTGTTGGGCTTTCTCTTAAATCTCAATAAAATGGCTTCAAATTTCTGGTTTTAACGTGGCTCGGTATGAGAAAGTGTAAGAGTTATAGAAACATTCTCAAAACTCTGTTGATAAGGGTCAACCTTTGCACCTTGTGAGCCTTTTCTTGACATTTATTATGTTTTTACGCCCAACTACCTGCTGTATTGCCTTCCATAACTTAACCAGCACACTTTTATATGTCCCAGAAAGGTTTGTTGCTCTACTTGTTTGCTTATGCTTTTTTTTTTTTTTTTTTTTTTTTCAAGGGCGATAAAAATAGGTAAATAGATGGCCTATAGAGATGAAAAGCTCCTCTTGATCCTTCTCTATATAGCTCCAGGAGAAGAACTAACAAAACTGGCCCAACCTGTGCCGGCTGTCCTTGTGACAAAGTATTTTGGAAAGGTCAGCATTAACGGGTCACAACAAAGAAAAGACAGAATGGAAAGAGAGATCAGATGGCAGGATAGGTGTGCTCTCAGTAAAGTTCCTTTTGTGATCGAGTGGTTTGGTAGTTTTACCAAGGTGCTAGTGGAAGCACAGCATCGTTAGCAGGGCTCTGGTTAATGCTAACCTAATGCTGTTGCCCTTTAATTAACAGTGCTTCAACTTTTAATTTAAATGTTACATTGTATTATGGTACATTACTATTCACACATATACCAGTACTTTGAGACCTGTTATTATACATTCATAATATTTTGCTTATTCATTTAATTGCCTGATCTTAGTTCATCAGGTTATAGTTTTTCTGGTCCTTTTTTAATAATCAAAGATCCCCCAGAACAAGCAGGTAAAAGTAGGGCTGTTGGAAAATATCCGATATAATATAGATCGATTTGTTCCTAACATAGAATAAAAAGTATTTTTACATGAAACAACATGGGGAAAATGGGCTACCGCTGCACTGCCATTATAGCCCAGAGGAGCCCTTTTGCTGTGCGACGCAGGGCTATATCTGTTGTTGACACAGTCACAGTGGAAAACATGGACTGAATTGAACCCCAAACAATGTGGATACCAAAATAACTAAATGATCAATATCTTCTGATGAACACATACAGCACTTTTTTATCTGTACATTTAATTTTGATAGCAGGGTAACATATCACATTATATTGTGATTTGCAGTATTGTGATAATGTTGTATTGTGACCCAAGTATCGTGACACATAATCGTATCACATAAATTAGAAGCTGTAGGTTCTGTAGGTAGCTGTAGGTTTCCTTGCTGGAAACAAAGATGACAAATTTTAATCTGTGGGAATGGAAAGAAATTCTTAGAGGTTGAGGGCTAATGGCTATAGAGATGAATTTGAGTTTTAGCTGATTTAAAACAAACTCAAAAAAATATTCAGGTCCATTTGGCACAATATGTCAGTGGATCTGAAATCTCTTCAGTGTTGTTGTGTTTGTCACTGTTTTCTCTAACCAAACGACTAGCTTAAGCTGTGTTAGTAGAGGCCAGAGTTGGGTAGAGTACCCAATAATCGTAACCAGGTAGGAGTAGTAGTACTTCATCATAGGTTTACATGAGTAAAAGTAAAAAGTAGCTGTCCAAAAAATTTATCAAGTAAGAGTAACTAATTTACTTGTCCTCATGATCATAACATCTAAATTAAGATTAAAACATGATGGTATAAAGTTACAAAACAGAAGGCTATACGCAAATAATGTTGTTTCAAAGAATAAAATAAAAAAATATATGGCATACAGTAATTATGCTATCACAATTTCAGGTGAAACACTTTTCAATAGATATTTTCTAATGTATTTTGTCATAAAATTGTCAAGTAATCTCTTGCAGTATGTAATGCAAGAGGTTTGAATAGGTTACGTTGCTTCCAATAACAAGATGCTGTGGACTGTTTATTGGATTTTCACTGGACCTCCAAATGAAGCAGCAGATAGAAAGTAAGATACAACCAATAGGACAGATTACAAAAATAAAAGTATCTCCTCTCTGGCTCATTTTTGTTTAAAACAAGCTCTTTCTTCACTGACTAAAATAACTTATGATGGGTAGAGTATCCAGACATTTTATTCAAGTAAGAATAGTGATACTGCATACTATTTTTATTCAAGTTAAGGTACAATACAGTAAAACAAAATTTTTAAAGTTACTCGGGTAAATGTAACTAAGTGTAGCTAATTACTACCCACCTCTGGTAGAGGCTCCTTGCTGTTATCAAAGGATGATCAACCAACTGAGATAATGATCTAACAACATGGAGATCTGGAAAAGTACAGTAACTACTATTGCATAAACAGAATAAAACAGAAACACTGCTTATTCAATGAAAATTTAAGGAAAATATTTAGTCTTTTATTTTGATTATTAAGTTGTAGTAGTGAGATCCAGATCAAAATTGCCCTATCCAAAAAAAATTCTTAATGTCTTTTCAAATAATAGTAAAGAAAGGTATAATTCTGTTACATTCTTTTCAGTGTTCTTTAAACTTAAAAAAAACCCAAACAAAACAAATGAAAGTGATGTGCAAATAGCATCTCACTTTTATTCTTCTAAAGGAGAGGTTTTTTTCATTTTCTAAAAGTTGTATCTATACTGAAGCCAGCCTGAAATTACATATGAATGAATTGGATCCGTACAATCGCCTGTGAGTCGGTCGGTATTGTGGTTTGAAGGCCTGAAGGTTGCCAGTATGAAACAAGGAGCAGAGTGTTGGACTGCTGGGCTGGTTATCAGGGAATGAGGGCAGGTAGGGGCCTGTCTGTTGTGTTAGTGGGAGTGAAAACCTGTATCCTGCTCGCTCTGGGTGAAGTGGAAAGATTCCTGAGAGTTGGAAATCGGGAAAACCAATGGTGAATAGGATCATTTAGAAGTGATGAACTTGGTGAGTTGATATCTGCATTTACTTGTCAGAACAATCTTTGGCATGCCTGTTGAGATGGATTGAGAACAGGACTGGGTCAATGTCATTTATGTGTCTCAAAGTCCCCTCTTCCCCACTGTGGTCATTATTATTATCATTTGTGAAGTTACCTTTATAAACATAATGATGTTTCAAACAGAGCCCTCTGCTTGGGTTAATGTGGAAACCATTTTCCATCTATTGCAAAAGAGGTCATCAAACATGCTGCTAACAGCAACCAGACATTATGAGCCTATATAAATACTGTAAATATTTTATTGCATGGTTGTCCCTTTATGGTAAAGAGGTTTCTTATCCAAACCTGCCTCCTTTTATCATTTTAGTTCCTCTTTCAAATGCACCGACATGTCCGTATTTCAGAGATCATACCTTCAGTGTTTACGTCTGAACTTTGTCAGTCACCTCCAAAGCCTTTAGATAAGTCAATGAAACCACGTTGCTTTAAATCAGGATTACTCTGCAACAACAAGGTTTGCTTGGCAGATTAACCCATGTTCCACTGGCCCTTCTTAATCATGACACACTGTCTGTGTTTGTGTGAGCCTTCCGCGTAGAAGGTCTGCAGTCTGGAGCAGGCCGAACGTGTCCCCCATGAGGCAGCGATTTTTAGACTGCTCTACTTTTACAGAAGTGAGTTTGCATGTAGGAAGAGAGTCAGGGACAGACTTTGGCGAGCGGGGGAGAAATGGGCTGTAAAGTAAGCTCCATTAATGCTCTAACTCAACTTGGTACAGAGATTGAAAGAAAGGAAATTTGCAATGCTATTACACAGTCCTGTGCTTGCAAATACATCAAGTAGAAACTGGGGTATAGCTTTTTAACCAACTTTTATTTTGAATCATATATTTTTTAGACTAATTCTTTTGGGAAGAGGCCAAGATCTGTAAAGCCTAAACTAGTGCAGTGAACTCTGCCCAACCACCTGCTGAAAAGTCTTTAAAGCTATCTTGCCTTGAAATAGGAAACCTTATAATGTTGCTGTTTCCTCACAAATCCCCGTGTTTGATAAATGGACAGAATGGGCTGTTAAAAAAAAAAAAAGAAAAGAAAACTCTTTCCTTAAGTTTGGAGTTAAATGAGAATGGAGGAAGGAAACGGACAGGAAATGAGAAGGGAAGGATGTGTCTTACAAGAGTGTTTGAATTCTGCTGGTCTGTTTCTTGTTTTTACTCTCCTGCAGCTGTGCAATCAGACCTTTGCCAGCAATGGTATAAAATAGCTCCTCTCAACACCCTTTGACTTATTCCTCTGGCTTTATGCGAAAATGTGTTTTAAATGCTTGTCATTTTTAATTTCTTTTTTTTTTATTCTCCTCATTGTTTCAGCTGGAGAAAATTATTGCATTTATAGCAAAATATGATTTTGGCCCAAATGATCCATGTCTTTGCCAAGGGTTGATTTGATTTGTTTCTTTTACTATTTAGTTTCAATGTGATTTTTTTTATATTAGTTTGTTTCTTTTTTTTTGTTGTATTTTGTATTTTTTGTATTCAGGATGTAGTTATACTACTGCTCAAATGATTTTTTTGTTTTTAACTAAATATTTTTGTTAGTAAACTTAGTTTTTTTTATGCATGCATTTTAAACAGTACATTTATCTGACAGAATTTGGTCTGTTTGGTTTATTGCCTTCTCATGTGTTTCAGGCTCAGGTGGCATTCCTGCAGGGTGAGAGGAAAGGCCAGGAAAACATGAAACAGGACCTGGTGAGGCGGATCAAAATGTTGGAGTACGCCCTCAAACAAGAAAGGTGAAGGACATAACAATAATCTGATCTCTTTGTATCCAGCTTTTAGGATGTCTTTGCATTTCTCTAAAAGTCATAATATTTTACAGAAGGAGTATTATTTCCTCTAATATTGCTCTTGTGGTTTATTGTTGGACATCCAGGGCTAAACATCAAAAGCTGAAATCAGGAAATGACCAGAGTCCTGGAGACAAGAAGCCTGAGATGGAGGCAGATCAAGGTATTCCTTTAACTTATTCTGTTTATTTGGATAAACTATGTGATCTACATTACAACATACTTTATTTTCTTTAGTTCCCAACGGACCAGCTGAGATGGACTCTGAGCCAGCCAATCAGATGTCCTGGAAAGAGGGCCGTCAGCTACTACGCAAGTAAGTCATGACTTTACATCAAGGAGACACAAATGATTCAAGGACATTTGTGTTGATTTATAAACCATCCTGATGGATGTTTTTGTTCCCCTGCCCCCGTAATGCAGGTACTTGGAGGAAGTGGGTTATTCAGACACCATCCTGGACATGCGCTCTAAACGAGTGCGGTCCCTGCTTGGGAGGAGCAGCCCAGAGGCTAATGGGCCCCCACCAAGCGAAAGCTGTCCAGAAACAGAACCTCGAGCAGCTGGAGAATCCTTGTTGGTCAGACAAATCGAAGAACAAATTAAGAAGTGAGTCCTCTTTACTGCTGCAGCTGCTAGCAAAAGTGACGTATGAGTTGTAAATGCACACATTATAATGCCTGAGAAACTGTGTCCTTTTCCGGGTACCATCTGATCATCAGGGAATCGGATGCAAAACAAATCCCAAGTTTCTGTCAGCAATTGTTTTATTGATGAACTGTGGTACTTTAGAGTCATACATCATGCACTACAGACAAAACAACAGAAACTTCCATCCTCTGCTGCTTATCCGGGGTCGGGTCACTGGGGTAGCAGCTTCAGTAGGGAGGCACAGGCGTCCCTCTCCCCAGCCACTTGGGCAAGCTCCTCTGGAGGCCAGCCGAGAAACATAGTCCATCCAGTGTGTCCTGGATGTTTCTCTGGGTCTTTTTCCGGTGGGACATACCCGGATCACCTCACCAGTTGAGGTATCCAGGAGGCATCCTAACAAAGTGCCTGAGCCACCTCAACTGGCTCCTCTCAACATTGAGGAGCAGCGGCTCTACTCTGAGTCCTCCCTGGATGACTGAGCTCCTCATCCTATCACCCTAAAAAAAGAAAAAAAACAACAACTTCTCTTCTAAATTCAAAACATTATTTCAGGGCTCCATTGGGTCCTTGACATCCTGGAAATCTTTTGAAATTGGCAAAAAAAGAAAAAGCCATCCTTGAAAGTTCTTGAATATGTTTTTTTTTTTTTACTAGGAATTTCTTCCTGGATTGATTACACGTTATAATTTTTTTGTTTGTTTGCAAGTTCTTTTGTCTTGACATTGTTTTGTTCAAGTGTTTTTGCGCTTTAAATTAAATTGGTTCTTAAGTGAAAGGCAGAGTATGTTACCATGGTGACTAGCCTCACAAAAAATGAATCCAGCTTTGTGGTATCGGAAAGTCAAGAGTTAAGCCTTAAGTTGTGTCGATAACCCAGTAACCCTGCTTTGTGGCCCTATGTTACTTAACCAAGTTAAGCGATAAGTTTGGAAAATTCAACTGAATCAAGGAGGGATTCGACAATATTTTACATAACAACACGAAGTAGGCTACTCATCACAAAAGAAGCGTCTTTGATACTTGATTCTCTAATGTTATTGGTAAGATATAATTATGGGGATAACAGAATGTTGTAACAAAAAGATAAATATGATATCTGCTGTTTAATAAAGTTTTTCACTCTAAATAACTTTCATGAAGTACTCGATATTCTATTTACTGTCACATACTGGCTTCCACTGCTCATTTTTAGGTTAGTAGTTTATTTGAGTAACTTCTTGAATCATGACACTTAAACTCGCTTGGAAATGTGTCTGTTAGGCTGTTTAGACATCATTGTTGATGTGCTATTGTTTTTTTTAAACAGTCAATCTGTGATCTCAGGGTCTGTTGAAGAAAAAGACAGACCTCCATTTAGCTTGATTACTTTGACCTGGCTTGAGATGGCTGGACCAGCTTGGGTTGGCCTTCGTGGAACAGATGCACTGATCACGCTGTAGTTTCTGGCTTTATCTCTTATCCTGGGATTTCTGAATTCAGCTTTGTTTAAAATAGGATCCTGACTCAGATAAAACAAAGACAAAAAAAACCAACAAACACCTTTGCTTTTTTTAAGATATAAAACACCCCAACAGGACATCCTTAGAAAATATAAACCGCCCTTACAAGAAAAATACAATATCTAAAACGTCCTTAGAAGAAACATTCAATGCTACTTTTAGCCTAAAGTTCTACATACACTAATGTAGCAGCATGCTAAGGTGAGATGCAGCCTGGACAGAACAAGCTACGCAGAAAAAAACAGGACTAATGGCGGCTGCTGCTTTAGCAGCTGCAATACAATTTAGCATATTTATAAGGACCATTCCGAAATATTAGATTTTTATATGAGGTGAAAACCTTTATAAAGCAGAACTAGCTCACATTGCAGCTCAAACATTTAAGCACTGAAAATGGTTTGTTTGGATACAATGTAGAAAAGTGTAAGTCTTAATATTTTACCTGTCAGTCCTGTTGATTTTATCTGACTGATAGCACAGTCATTAAGAATTATATTTAGAATATACATTGAAGTTTTTACATTGAAGGGTCCCTTTTTTTGCTATTGTTTGTCTGATTCAAAATCAGTTTGAACATAATCTGAGGCATTTTTCAGCAGCAGCTAAGAATTAGATCCAGTCTGATTTTAGCAAGCTACTTGGCTCCCCTCACTATTTTCTGCAGGGCCTTTCTTTTCTGCCATAGCTTAGCTACAGGTATACTTTATCTCAAACATTTTAACTAACCAATGTTTGTTTGTGGGTTCTAGTTTGCATACATTTTTACACATTTATGATATTGTTTTGCAGTGTTAAATTTTAATACTTAACTTTTTTACTAACAGAAATGCGGGTAAAGAAAGCTCAAAGGAAAGTGGGGGCAGCTCTGTGCTCGATAAGATCCCCTTCCTTCATGGCTGTGAGGATGATGATGAGGAAGACAGTGATGAAGAAGATGATTTCCAAGGCATTGCTACCGATTGCATCGACGGCCCGTGCAAAAACAAAAAATCCCGTGTAAAGGTGAGATCAATGAGTTGAAACTGATTGATGCTGTTACAATGAGCTGTTTGTGATGCTATTTTTTTTTCTTCTTCCCCTGTACAGATAAGTTCAGAGCCCATGACCACAGATCTGGACCCTGAAGATGAGGAGGACGAAGATGACTCAGAGGACGCCCTGAATGAATTTGACTTTCTGGGCTCAGGGGAGGATGGGGAGGGGGCGGGAGAGGCCCGGATCTCGGGTGATGGACGGGAGATAGGTACGCCGCTACCATAATTGTCAGCACTGCCAGGATCACTGCCGACTGTCTTCTCTGCCTCCACCTGCTCACCTTTTTACCTCCTACGTCCTGTTGTGTCTCCGCATCTTTTCTCGTCAATAAAACCAGCCTCTTTTTCCCAACTGCCTGTCTCTCTGTCCTGTTTCACGACCTTCAGATCTGTGTGGCTGCCATCTTTGTCATGTTTATTGTGCAGTTTGAAAAGGTGATCAAGCATGCTGCCTTCTCTGGTTATGTGCTCACATTTCATTCCTTCAACCATAAATACACCTAGTAGATGTTTCACTCTTTCCCATAAAAGTGGATATAAAGTAGTTGAGGGACTTATATGCATATTTAAGGTATGTAGTGGGTCTTTTTTTTTTTTTTTTTTTACTTTTCTGCTCCCTGCGTTCGTCTCATCCGTTGGCCTCCCTATTTTCTCCACCTTTCGGCATGACGGGATGTTTTCTCTCTCTCTTCTCGCCGGATTCAGAGAACCGCAGGAACAAGCTGCAAGGCCTGATGTCGGACTTTCCTCCTAAACCATCTCCGCCCCCATCTGTATCAGGACAGGCTCGCTCTGGGGAAGGTAAGCTTTTCACATCTAATAGGTTCAGCAAGAAGCGTACCACCGTTATACTCCTACACATGGTGATGTAGCCTGGACACAGAATTGTAAATTTAGTTTGCTTAGTTTTAAACCTGTGTGTGTGGGTGGGTGGATAAACTTGCAAGGCTACTTCTACACCTGTAAATAGTATCCTAGGTACACTGTGTGGGAGTAAAGCACCTAGGATAAAAAAAGCACAACTTTCTAAAGTTCTTTATTTATTGAGCCATGGCTGTACTGTCTACCTTCAACCTGCAGGTGGTGCTCTGGGATTCTCTTCTGACGTCTTTATTATGGATGCTGTTGGAGGTGGCGACATGAATCTGGGTGAACTGGCAGATCTCACTGTTGCCAATGACAATGAACTCTCCATAGATGTAAAAATCACACCTGAACTGGTCAAAGCTCTGCAGCGGGTAACTCTGAGCCTAATTTGATAACGATGCACGTCTCCTCTTTGGATTCTCTCTTATCAGATGCAGGACAACAGAGAAGACTTCAAGAAGACCTGGAATCCTCGTTTCACGCTGCGCAGCCACTTTGATGCCATCCGGGCGTTGACGTTTCATCCTAACCAAGCAGTGCTGCTAACTGCATCTGAGGATGGTACACTAAAACTGTGGAACCTCAACAAGGCCATGCACTCAAAAAAGTAAGTACCCCGCCTGAGAAGACAATACAACGACCCTTTACAAGTTATTCTACTTCTATAAACTGCAGACTTTAGCCAGGCCCAGTCTGGCTAAATGAGGCTCATGGGTTAGAGCTTTGGATATTATGTGACCTATTGATTAAAGACAGTTTGTAATTTTTGATAAATATTGATTGAATAGAAAGTCATAAAAGAAAAATCATTTTTCTAGATTTTAATTAAGAGTAATATCTATAACTTTTTCAACAAATGGCAAAAACTTATTTTTGTTTGATTGTGTTATTTGTGAAAAGCTATATTACAACCATATTACAAGGGAAAAAAAGATCTTAATAGATATTATTAGTACTTTTATTCAGTTATGAAAATTTAATGCAAAAATTTCATAAATAATCTAAACTATTGAAACCTGTCTCTGATCTAGAAAATCTAATTAAAAATCCTTTATCAAGTGCTTTTGTGGTAGGTCCAGACCTTTTTGAGGCACTAGACCTTCAGATTGCTGATCCCTGGGATAGAACAACAAAATGTGGTGCATAATTGTGTAGTGAAAGGTCATGACACAAAAGTTTTAACCTTTTTTTTTTTTTTAAACAAGTAAAAGGTTAATGAGTGTAGCTCCTCCAGTGCTTCCATGGAGATCTTTGCTCCTTTACTGTGCTGTGTAATTTTACCAGTTTGAAATGAAAGTTGTTAAAGTAGTGCAGGAGCCCGAGAAAGATTTTTTAGGTTGTTGATGTTACACAAGGGGAAAGTTGGATCTGGTCCAGTTCCGTTGGGTCCAGCGGTATCGGCGAAAGCTTCACTCTATCCAGTCTCAATCTCGTGTCCACGTCGGCCACTCGGAAAGCTCAGAGTCAGTCCAGTAGAGCACAAAGACCTGTAAAACTTTTGGGTAATTTATGGAGCTTGTAAGAGAGCGTCTCAATGGTGTCCTCTGCTCTGTGGGGTTTTGCACTCACTGGAGAAGACGGCAGTCACAGCAGCTTGGTGGGTTCATGGGATCAGAACCTCCTTTTAGCAGAAAAGGGTATACTCCTTATCCATTGTAAAAATGGGCGTTACCAGCATGGTTATGCTGGGTTTTCAGGGATGGAGTCCTTTTCGGCAGCAAAACAGACCACAGTTCCGGAGATTGCACCATGTGTAACGTGATGTCCAGCTGGAATATTGGGCTTCTCCTTGCATCCAGATGGATATTCGCTGGAAGAGGAAGAAAAAGGGGTACTGGGCACTTTTAAAGGGGCTGCTCTTTGAAGATATGGTGTAAGACGGGGGGGGGGCTGCGTTAAAACACAGGCGTTATCTGATCTCTTAACAGTGAAGTTGTAACTTCATCCATAACACCTGATAACCTTCTCCTTACCAGGTCTGTTAGTTAAGATGGACATGCATGTCCTAGCAGGTTTACAGAGTTATATGTTTTTTTTTTTTGTTTTTATCCTAAGCTTGGATTAAACTCCTCCACAACTTTTCCTGGACCTAAATGCTGCATTCCTCACTCTTTATGTTGCTGCATTTTCATCAATGTTCCAAAAACCTTCGTAGAACAGCTGTCTTCAAACTGCATATAGACAGGTTGTTTGATAACATATGTTTTTTTTTGCACTTAAATATTGCATGGAATTAGTAATGGGTCCTGGTTTTCTTTTTTGTAAAAAGATGTAAAACATTTATAATTTTCCTTCCACTTAACTCTTTTTTACCAATTTGTTGCCGTAGGTATTTATAAAAATCCAAATAAATTGAAATGAACATGTGAATACTTTCTCATAGAAGACCTAAAACAGCAGAGACTACTACGAAGTATAAAGCGCATGCTAACAGGTTGTTTCCTTTCACAGGAACGCAGCTTTGGACGTAGAGCCCATCTACACCTTCAGGGCACACAGGTGTGTTTAATTCCAGAGTTTTAATTGTAAAAATGCTTTTTTTCACCCATTAAACAATCTAATGCCATTTGCCTATAATGATATAGTGGAGCCGTCCTGTCTCTGACCACGAGTGAGGATGGGGAGTCCTGCTATAGCGGAGGTTTGGACGGAACTGTCCGGTGTTGGAAGATGCCCGACCTGAACGTGGATCCTTATGATAACTATGGTGAGACTTTATGGCCTCATTATCATTATGGGGCCCTTTGCCTTGTTACAAAGTGTAGAAATATTTTCTATATTTTTATGGGTAAGCAGGGTTAGCTGTAAATGGCATTACAATTCATTAAATGTGATTACTGGTAGCTTTTCAATTTTTGATTTTCCCAAGAGAAATTTTTATTCTAACGCTGCTAGATTAAGCTTTATTTTTGAGTTTTCATATATCATTCCTTACTCCATCATCTGTCTTCTACAGACGAATCTTCTAAAAAAAAAAAAATACAGAAACATTTTTAGTGTGGACCTGGAGATGCAGTTTAATTTAAAATGGAAATTTTGTAGACTAAAGAAAACTTTTGATTTAGAGAAAAACCTTGTTAAAAATCATGGTTACATATCTAGTGAGATTAGTTTCCTTATAGAATACAAACTGTAGTTTTGTAACTGGCAAAACCTGCCATCTGCTGTCCATTTAGGAGACTGGGGCAAAAGGAAAAAACAACATTGTTTCTCACTTTGTGTATAAAATATGAATTTAGTCTTAAGACTACAGCAGTCTGAATTTCTTGAGAGGTGTTGAATAATGTATAGAAAACAGATGCTGTGTGTGATGTTTTTAAAAGATATTCTCCAATCTTCTTTCAGATCCTGGCATCCAGAGCAGCGTGCTGGAAGGCCATGAGGACAGCGTTTGGGGTCTGACCTACTCTTCTGTTCACCATCGTCTCGCTTCATGCTCTGCCGATGGCACGATTCGTCTCTGGAGTCCTCAGAACTCATCTCCCTGCCTGTCTGTCTTTAATAAAGAAAGAGGTAGAGATCGGCTTTTTTGAAGCTAAATATAGAGAGCGAAACAAACAAAAGGAAAACAGTAAAGCAAACTGCAGCGACTTTTAAAACGGAGCAGCTCAGAAGGAAATAGAAAATATTTGGGTGACAATATGGAAATCAATGTATTTCTTCAAGCTTATTATTTAAGAATTTGTTTTCGTGTTTTTATAAAACGTTACACATTTATTTCAATACATTAGAATTTGATCAAATGGTTTATTTTTGACAGGTTGCACCTCACAAACTAAAACATTTGTAATACCGTATGTTTCATTGGACAGTGGGATCCATATCAAGCTTTCTTAGTTTTTAATGTGATGAATAAGAATTATAGCTTCTGCAAAAAAACATTTGAACAGGCATCAGGCTTTTGGCTAGGAATATTTCATAGGTTGTACACCTTGGTGTACTACAACTTCAGGCTTTGCGTGGCATTGTGGCGAAAGCTTCATAGGGTTAATTGACAGTTGTCTTTCCTGTTAGGGAACGATAGGCATGGGGTGGCTAATTTGGGTTAGAATCCCTGCTGGTCTTGGAATTGTTAACTGTCAGAGTTATAAATTCACTTCTTTCAAACACACAAAAAAATGGATCTTGTACATATTGAATTAACAATAGGAAAGAAACCAAGAGTTCTAAATTGATAACTTACTTTAAATTAATATTGCTGTAGATTCCCAGTAATTCCATGTTGAAACCAGTGATTGCTAATTTAATGTTGGTAATCTTTAACACAAAATTTTATGCAAGTCATATTTCTCATCTGATTGCTCTAGAAGAAGCTGGAGATTGCATTCTCTTTGGTTCTCCATTTTTTTTCCCCATCTCTTCATATTCCCCAAATTCACAAACTCCTTATCAGTAATGTTGGAAAAAATGTGAATAAATAAATCCTAGTCCACAAACATCCTTATTTACATATTTACTTACATTTTCCTGTTGTATGTTCACATTTATGGATTGCATCTAAACATATCAAACATATTTTCAATTCAAACTATAGATATGAAATAACACATTATAGCAAACAATGGCTTAAATTATATTATAGGTCATCAAATCGGTGTCAGTTTCGTCTGCCAAAGAGGCTGCCTGTAGGAATTTGAAATGTCCAGCAGGTGTCAGTATTTAGTGATACAATATTGACACAATGTCAATCCAGTTTGCAAATGTGTCTAAACGCTTCATGACGCCTGATGAGCCCATCACTAACAGACAGTATTGTCCCAAAGAACAAAAAACCTCCAAAATAATCCTAAAGTTAACAGGCATTCAATGAGTTTTCGTAAACGTTTAAAAGTTTCAGGCTTACCAGTTTGCAAACAGCACATCATGCTGTTGACTGGATGAACAACTCAAATTTTAAACATTCAAGTGAAGTTTCCAGGAGAAAAACGGGTCGTTCAATGTCCTTTTTATAGTAAAGGCCATATAATTTACGGATGGGTAGCTTAAAGCCTGATGTGCATCTCTTTCTAAGAGACTTTTTGTCTTCCACTTTTTACTGATATGAATAGAATGTAAAGATTTAGCAGTGATTGGTAGCCCACCCTCCTTTTATATGTCAATGCCTATCTGCTGCATAACTGCCTATACAGCCCATTTGCCTTTGATAGTAAAGGCATAATAGTATTGTATTAATAAAACTTCATGTATGTATGCCTATGTTTTATTATCCAGTAGTCTTCCACTCATCTGTTTTTGTTGTTGTTTTTTAGAACATGGAACACCCACCTCTGTGGCCTTTGTGACCACCGATCCCAACCAGATGGTGGTCTCATTCGACAGCGGTGAGACGCTGCTCTACGACCTCAACACGGAACAGAGCATCGCTGCATTAGAGACGCAGACAAAAGATGGTATGTTAGGAGGTTCTAAACTTTTCATTTTCCATACAGATGACCTCCCCTTATTTTGAAACATGTTAAGAATGAGAAATAGTGATCTTCATAAATTAATCATTTGAACGTATGTCCTCTTTGTAGGCAGTGAACTAATTAATCGCGTCGTGAGTCACCCGACGGAGCCCGTCTCCATCACAGCACATGAGAACCGTACAATCCGCTTCATGGACAACAAGACTGGTGCCTGATTATTTCATAAGCACAACATAAATCTTCTGGAGATAAATATTGATTCAAGCTTGCTGATTTCTTTTTTTTGTTTGTTTTTTTGCAGGTAAAGTTGTCCACTCTATGGTGGCACACTTGGATGCAGTGACATGCCTCACCACAGACCCTAAAGGCACTTACCTCGTCTCTGGAAGTAAATATGAGTTTTAAATTTAATTAATATACACTAGATGGTTTTAAATTCTTAATCTTTAATGCCTAATATTTTAGCACTGTCCTGTTTTTTTTAATACATTTTGCTTTATTATTAGTTTTACTTAAATATTTTCTCAGAATCAGATGATGAAAGTACAATTTAATAAATAAAAAAACAAACAAATGAGGCAACGACCATGAGACATTTTGATTTTAAAGTAAGGTTATTAAACACTTCCCTCCTTTCACCTGCTCCTTCCCTCCTGCAGGCCACGACTGCTCAGTGCGTCTGTGGATGCTGGACAACAGGACGTGCGTGCAGGAAATAACCGCACACAGGAAGAAGTACGACGAGGCCATTCATGACGTGGCCTTCCATCCTTCACAGCCCTTCATCGCCAGCGCTGGCGCAGACGCACTTGCCAAGATTTTTGTCTGAATCCACTGTTGTCATTTCGGTAAGATGGATGGTGTCAACATAATATTATGGATTATTGCAAAGCATTGGGTTTTTAACCAGCTCTTAAAAACAAAGTCAGAGTTTAACACCCTGCAACTTGCAAGCCACAGGCCTTGTTACTTTTTAAAAAAGTGTTATAAAGAGCCGTTTCCTCTTTTTGTATCTATACGGATTCAATTAATCTACAAAGAACATTAAATATGTTCTGAAGATTTCAGACATTGAGCACACCATGGACTTGATCTTTAAAACGTGTGAATCTTTAAACAAGTGCAAATCTGTTTTTATGTGCAGAGCAGATCTTCAAAGGGGGGGCAAAGTGATTTGTGTTTGTAATTTAGGAGAGAGCTTCTGCCAACCTTCCTTAACTGATTCTTCTTCATTACAGTGAACCCTTGTTTTTTAGGGGGTTATGTTCCATAAAGAACCCATGATAGACAAAATCAGTAGTAATTTTTTACAGTTATTATTAAAAACGTATTCAGGCTTTTATTCTCCTTCCTCAATGATCACTTTCAATTTTTTTTTTCATGAACGCTTCTTCTCCAGCAGTATTCATGGAGGAGGTCTCTCCAAGAAACATTTTTAAGTCTAAAACGTTTCTTAAATTTTTAAAACCAGCCTTAGCCAGCATTAAATGAGCTTGCTACTAGGAGGACAGCAGTCATTGATTGCCCGGTATCTACATCCTCCTCCTCTTCCCTATCATAAATGTCATTGTTGTCAGTTTGATATAGTGTTCTAGTATTTGTACAGATAACGTTCATATCCAGTTTAATGTTCTTTTTTCTGCAGTCATAATTCACAAAGCTAATGCAGACTCCATCCTTACCATGATTTTGTTGCGGATAGTTGCAACCCTTTTTGCGTCCTTATTAAAATGTATTGCTGCTGTCATCCTTATGTAATTTTCCTCATTCTTTCTGGAACGAACGGAAGATTAATTAATTCTATAATTGCGACGTACAGCCGCATAGGTTCCCTTATTAAGCCTGTCCAGAAGCGTAACTTTTTCTGTGATAGTTAGCATCTTCCTTTGCCTTGTGGTCCTGTCCTTAAGTGCCTCTGTTGGTGCAGAACATTTTGTAAACAGTATGGGTTTTTGCAGAAAATTTGCAAACTTAAATTTAGCAAGCTGCTTTACATGTACATGGCTATTAAAATATTAAACCGTAACGTTATTGAGACGGGTAGAGAAGAAGCGTGGAGACTGTTTAGCCAATCGGGATGCAGAACACTATGCACAATAAAAATCTGTGAAGCAGCGAGGCCGTGAAAGGCAAAGCGCCTTATGGCGAGGATTCACTGTATACAGATCATACTCCAAACTGCAAATTAATGTTAACATTGTGGGGACATATTTTACTCTTGGCTCTGCGTTGTTTTAATAGATTATTCTAGGCATGCATTGTTTTGCACTAAATCAGGTCAAGCGGCTAATAAGGAGTTGAGATAAATCCACCTATATGGGCTTAATGTGCTATAAATCTGACTCAAGCTCTGGGTGTATGAGGGACAATCAATAGACAAAGACAGCCTTCTCATCTATATTCTTTTTTTTTTTATTTAACTATGGTCATTTCATCATTTTATATTTACTTTTGTGTGCAGTACTATGACATAGGCTACCTATGTAAAGCATTCTGTAAAATATTTTTAGCATTGTGACTATTATTTTTCAAAACCATTTTTATCAATATTACCTCAAACTGACTTAGAACCTTAGATTTTATTTACTGCTGCTTTCAAACCACAGTTAACATGTAATCTGCTCATTTTAATGGGCGAAACCAAACCAGTTTCTACGTTTTAACATTTGTGCAGCAACCTTTGTAGATCTTTTGTAACACACCCACTCATTGCATTTACTAAAAAAAAGAAAAAAAAGCTGCCGCAAAACAGCTCCTCTTAATTGGAATTTTTGAAGATTGAGCCCTATCTGTACTAAAAAAAGTTGCTGTTATATTTAAAAATATATTTATGGTTTTCAATGTTTAGTTTTAGTTATTTATATTCAATGTTTTGCAAGGACTTTTATTTAAAACTACTTTTTAGAGCCGTCTTCTAAAGCCATGAATCACTAAATTTCAATCATGAGATTCTTTGTGTTCCCATATTTCTAGAAATTAATCTTTAGCGCCATCCCATGGCTGCCATATCCAAACAGTGCATTCTGCTGGAGAAGACGTCGCGTCATGTTTATGTCTGCTACTAACTTCTTAGAGACAGATAAAGCATATTTTACATATTTGTGGTTTGATTTGAGTGCAGTTTGGCTGTTGGGTAATAATGACCTGAGGACAATATTTGTAGCTTCTTTTGTACAGCTTACATTACAATATGACTAAAGGTAGCTTTTAACTTTTTCTAATATTGGGGTCAGATTTGCAAATGTCATCCAATACAAGTGTTTTATTTTTATTTTTCTGCTTTTGACCCCTTGATGCCCACTGATGCAAATATGCAACAATCAAAGATTGCATGTGCATCCCTGCAGTGCCAGTTTTTACACATTCATTGTGGACCTTGGAACCTTTGGCAAGCTCTTGTTTCTGTTTAATATTGTCTCTAATGATATAAGTTATCATTGACCATTATAAACGTTGTCTCAAATTTCTAATATACCTACATTTCTTGTTATTTTTGAAATAAATAGAAAGTTTAGAGGTGTAAATTTGGCAAATAGTTAAAGAGCGTGCAGATAACAAATGGCAGGTACAAAGGGATGAGCTCATATGAAGCTGCTGGTTATGTGATCCAACAGTCTCTTTATTTCAGTAGAAATAATCTCACTTGCATCAGAAAAAGTTGGCAACGGTCCTTTTCTGTTTCCAAGTATTTCAGCAGGATTTGCTTGTTGCAGAGGCCTCTGTATTCTCCTTCTGGAAACATAAGGAGAGAGTTAGTCACCCTGCCGGATGTTGTAAAGTTGTTGTTGTTGTTACCACAGAAACAATGAAAAGCTTGTTTGCCTGCACTTACAGCTCACTCAGCGTTCTCTTTAGATTCATGACTGCTCCCTGTTATCTGTGCCAGCTGTTTTTAACTTTTAAAGCCATCAATTTTCATTGAGGCTTTTTCTGAACTGCCACCAGAAGCAGCTGTGCTAAAGCAGAGAAACATCTAAAACCTGCAGGACATTGGTCCTTGAGGACCGACTTTTGACATGCCTGCTCTAGGGGTTAGCCTTGGCTAGCTGTAGCCTTTCCCTGCTCATTTTTCCTGACTGGCTTCTCCAACGTACTGCTGTCCTTTTCTCAGTCAGCTGTAGCCCCTCTCCACCCCGGGTACACATATCAGAACTTCTGCTGTGCTGCTCCCTCTCCTTTGGAGCTGCCTTCTCTCCCTGCTTCGGTGCGCTGTCTGCCCAGGGATCTGCCGCTCTGGTTCCTTGGCTCCAGAGGGAGGCACAGCTGGCTGCCGGTTATGGAGCTCTTTCAGCCGCTGTTCTCACACTGATTTCCTGCTGCTCCTACCTGAGCTCAGAATGCTGTCTCCTCTTCCATCTGTTGTCTGGGTGATTTTTCCCTGTGTTTTGCAAACTCTGACAAAAATAAACATGGCCAAAGCGAACGACAAAGATGCGTGTCCGCTCAGAAGTAAACTCCTCAACAACACAATGACTGGCTCTTAAAATTGGTGGTCTTCATAATGACCAGCTGGTCGGCGACCTTAGCCGATCACGTGAATATCGTCTGAATTCTGAGCACTTCAGTAGGAACCTACAAATACATGTTTAGACATAATGAGAGTAAAGGAAAAGCAATGTGCTTGATTACAATTTTTCTTTTCCTCTTTTTATCTGAGATGTAAAAGTTTAGAACAATCTGTCGGTTTAATTAACGTTGGCCAACTTTCAAATCTCTTCTCTTTAAAATGTGAAAACAACTTGTCCAAATGATGTTTTGCATCTTACTGAAGTACTGTGTAGGTTTACAGCTCTCTTTTTGGATGGTTTTAAATCATTTGAATGGTAATAACTACAAGGCTGTTAACTCATTTAATAGTCAGTTTTATGGCCGATGTATAAAACTTGTTCCTGGTCAGTCAGCCTGAGCCCTCGGTCAAAGATGCAGGTACTTTTACTTTTGGCAGGGGAAAAATGCAGCTTTGAATTAAAATACTAGTAAAAGCTTGTCAGCAAAGGTAAGTTTGCAGTGCTCCAACATTTCCATGGAAATAGGTGTGCTTCATACCGCACCTTTACCTTCCACTTAACCCATTAATTTGCCTGGATTCTGCTCTCAAGGCCAGCTTCTTTTAAAAGGCCACTCCAGTGTCCTTTCATCCATGTGCTGGGTGTCAGTGACGGTCTGCTGGTTTTGGGTTTATGTAGTATTCAGGTTTTTTGATCACTAAGAGATTGGGATTTTATTTTGTTTTTAATTATAATCACTAAAATGATCAGGAGTAAACGATATACATCAGTCTGATTAATGACACATTATGAACTTAATTACTAAAATACATATTTTTTGGTGTTTTTTTTCTAAATATTTACTAAAACAAATGGCTGAATATTTAGAGACTACTATCAGATCAAAACTGTCTGCACTGAAATATTTTTTTTATTGTTTTTTTTTTTTTGTAGTTTGTGCTCACCCCTCTTAACATTTTTCAATGTCTGTCTGATTCTGCATTCAGTGTCCTTCAACCACAACTGAGGAAGAAGAGGCTGAAGACGACAGTGGACCGATTTCTCCTGCCCTCTCCCACACAAAGACACACACCCGTCCTGCAGCCCACTGGCTGGGTCGTCACCACAGGACATCCACCCCCTCTCCCCCCCTCCACAGTTCTGATGCCTCAGTGACTTCTTGTAATACTAATCATATCTTGTACTGCTTTTTTTACAACCTAAGAATTATGGCTGCTCTGTTTTCAAGTAATCATATTTAAAAAAAACAACACTTTTCTACACTACACCCTCCTTTCTTTTTTTGTCCTCTCTCCTCTGCCTATCTTTATTACAATCCACCCTGTGTATAATGCCGGTGCGCTCTTGCTGCTGACACACTACCCACATTTCACCAACACATTTGCACTGCCGCCTATCATTTCTGATCTTCGTTCGACGAGGAAGTGCTTCTGGCGAACACACAGTAGTAGGTATGACGTAACGCAGCAACGGCTGCAAGTATTCACAAGGAACACCTGATCCCGGCTTTGCTTTAGGAATCGATGTCTCACATTCCAAAGACTCTGGGCAGAGTGTGTTTGTTTGGTTTCATATTTCAAATTGGAGAATGTTTAACTGTTTTATGTAATATATATACAAGATGGGGGGGCACTAAGCAGTAAATGAATAGCTTTAATTTTTAAATGACATAATTTGACTTCATCCCGTTTTTAATTCCTCTGTGTCTGCGTCTTTAGATTCTGTCTTTTTGTGTGTGTTGCCCTTTAAAGGCAACACTTCCCACCAGAAACAACCCAAATTATTTCACATCGAGCAGACTGATGATCTCAGACTACATTTACAGGCTGACGATAGAGATTACAAGTACGGCTAAAATCAGGAAGCTGTAGCAGCGGGAGCCTGACCTGTTTGCTCTCTACAAATGGCACAGATGCTGCCGTTTGGTGCTTTTTACTGTACAGTGGAGTGTGTGGTTGTGTGTGTGTTTGTGAATGCACTATTTAAATCATGGTGCTACAAAAAGACCTCATCAGTCTTGAGTCTGAATCAGGGACCTGGTTATTGTGTTTCTGTGAGATTGTTGTCACTTTTTAGGCTGTTTTGGTTGAGTCATTCCATTGACTGTGACCAGTCGCTGTTAATGTTTTGATTTAAGGAATGTGAACGGTTTTGATTGTTTCAGGCCTGAGGAATGTGCAGGTCTGATGCCGAGAAGGTGGCTGTAGTTTGTTTGGGGTTATTGTTTGTTTTATTCATGGTTTTCAGTGTTTTAGAACAGCCAGAAGTCATTAACCTTTTTGTTTTACCTTCACAGGGGCTAATGACACAAAGATGAGTTTCAGCTTCCTGTAGAGGCATGCTTTGAGGAATGTTGACTTATATACTTTTGGGGGCTTTTAATGATAAATTTAAACTTTACTTTTAAAAGATAATTTTAGTGATTTGTTTTTATTTTATTTATTTTTTTTTTTTTACAGATATTGGGTGCAGGGGTTTCAATTCATTGGGGATTTTCTTTGTTCCACACAAGATTAAAATGACAAATATAGACTGAAAACACACACATCCCCACAGAATGTGTTGGTAAACATCCCTTTGCAAACGACAATGTGAGCACCTTTATCTGTTTGTTATCAACAAACTAACAGTATGATTGAGACTAAATACTTGATCGCAAGTTTATTTCATTTGGTTGGTTTCCTGTGATGGACCTGGCTTTTAAGCAAATTTTATAATCTGAGATTTTCCAGTTCTGAAAGTAACACACTGGAAGATGGTGCTTCATTTTAAAGGTGTCAGTGTTCACCCATAACACAGTTTTTTATGAAGGAAAGGGAATCAGTGAAAAAGAGGCTAAAATTCAACCCTTCAAGAATTTAAAGGCATGAACACTAACCCATCTGTCAAGCATGGTGTTGGTAGCGTGATGCTGTGGGGCAGTTTTCTATTCAGCAGAATAATAAAAGAGGACCTCCTTAATTATGTTCAGGTTTGCCTCAAATAAATAGATGGTAGACATCGGGAAACCAGTTGATCTCTGAACTGAATATTTGATCCCAAACACACAGTTTCTGAAAATGAGAACTTCCAGAGCGGGTCTAACCATGTTTGTTCAGAGAAACCAGATATTTTCAGGGAAGTTTGTATTTTATGGTAAAAGTTATGCTGGAAATTTGAAGAGAGTTTGGTTTCTCTGCAGATTCCGAGGGGGTCATTATATGAATAGCTATCTTAGATACTGTATAGGAATGTTCTCAATAGATTCAAACTTATCCTTCCTAATTATTTTCTTTAAAACTAGATCATTAAAAGCCCCAAGTTCTTGTAATAAGTATAAACTCTCTCAAACAAATCATTCGACCGGGGAAAACCTAGACATCTCCTGGCTTTTAATGGTTCTGTCTCTTCAGTTGCTGCTTTTACAAAAATCTCTACTAATACATTTCTGCATTTAAATGTGTACAATCTGTTTGCAGAAGACAATATTGGTTGCTTTTAATTTGAACAAGCTAAACAAAGATGTTGATGAATAACAACAAGATGACATTCAGATGTGATGTGGATTCTCTAAAATCCAGAAAACAGAGCCTGCCAGATTAGATTAGGAATGGTTTTCTAAAAAAAAAAAAACAAAACAAAAAAACAGTTAAAACATTGGATAATTATTAGATTAAGGTGAACTTTACATTTTACCAAGGAGTCCTTAGTGGAGAATATTTAAACAGACCCCTAAAATTTAACAGGGTCACAATTTTGTTTGTGTTTTGCAACGCTGGAATTGAATACTAATCTGTATATTTTTTTGTCCAAACAGGGTGTTGTATAGATGTGTGAGATTAAAGAACATGTCACTGCTGTTAGTTTAACATGCATCAGAAAAAACAAATGATAGATATGATCCTCAGCAGGTCATAGTGTTCTGTTTTTACACTTAACTATTTACTTCATCTTGCACTACATCTAAAAGTGAATGCTTAGTTTAGAAATGAGCAGATGGGGTGCAGAAAAGGTTTACAGGTGGTTTCTTCACCTGAAGCGAAAGCTCCTGTCCATCTGAGCGAATTAAGACAAATCAGAGCGACGTATTAAGAAATCGGAAACAGGCCGTAGATGATAAGTAGGCTCACCATTATGTGCTGTAAATGTCTATCATTTCATTGCTTTCTTTCTTGCATTTCATTTTTTTTAATATAAATATGATTATTACGATTTCAGAATGCTGTAGTATCATAAGTGACTCATTTTCCTTGCTAAGTATAAAACACAATTTTGGATGATGATAATGATGAAGATGATGTAAAACCTGTAAAAAAAAAAAATAAAAAAAAAAAGGCAAAAATGGTTAAAAGAAAAAATGAGAAGAAAATGCTGAAAATATGTGGAAAAATCTGTCACCAGTCAGAGGCCAAGGTAAAGGACTCCCGTTTCTGTGTGTTTTTATTTTTTTATTAGCAAGTTATCACTGTGTGATATTTTGTACATCATATAAAGCTGTATTCCAACAATTTCCTCTAACTACAAGGGATGAGAGACCTGCTTTTTATTGATTTTGTCTTATATATTTTTGAACCGCATTCTGGCTCGTATCAAATGATTCTTTTTTTGTTTACGGGGGTCACCTGTTGTATGTCATTAAGGAAGAAAAATAAAAATTTTGTACAGTAAAATAAGAACTGTTTCATTTTTTTATGTTTTTGTTTCTGTTGAATTACGGTAAAATATTAGTTTATTCTTTTTTCCTGTATTGATAACTTCATTTTTGGTGACATTGTTTCAGTCTATATGCTACCATTCCTGCTAATTAATTCAATACTTTATAGTGACTTAAAAAATAAAAACCTGATGCAGGGCAATGAATATTCTTTACAGAAAGAATGGAAAGCCAGAAAATTTAAGGAACTCATTGAATATATATTCAGGACAACTGTTGATTTATAAGCATATCTCTAATTCACTGTAGTTTAAGATAATCAAATATATTTATATTATACATTTTCCAAGCTTTCGTTAAGGAATGTTACAACTCAAGCCAACACCGGTGTCACTTTTAAGAGATAAGAGACATTCACATCACCATGGACTAACAGGGCGTTAACCAAGGGAGACAAATTTAAGCTGTAAAAGGGTATAATGTATAAAGGGAATATCAAATACCTTGTGAATGGATTTATTATAGTTGGTGTACAGAAACTATTACAGTCTGAGGAGTTTGCCTTTCAGACTTGAGAAAGGCAAACTTTTCCAATCGCATACATAGCAGTGGTGGAATCGTGGGGATCTGGAACTCTGCCAGTGGTGTTGGTCATTTGCAGAAACTGAAGAAAAATGTTTTTCAACTCTAACCTTACCTCCCAACTGAGCAAAAATATGTAAAAAAAAAAAAAAAAAATGACATGATTTATTTCCAAAAATCTACATTTGGTTAAAAGGTGAAAAGTCGTACTTTTTTTTTGAAAAAACTCAGTTTTCAACGTCGTTAGTTGGACTAAATTGGGACATCATCAGACCGACCAAACAGCCCAATTTTCAAGTTGGGTAGTGTTGGCTTAGTGGTTAGAGCAGAGCGCTTGTGCTCTGAGAAGGTTGCAAGTACCTGGTTTGCTCCCCACAGCCTCAACTCTGAGTTCCTGAGCAAGACCCTTAACCCCACACTGCTCCCCGGGTGCCACACAATGGCAGCTCACTGCTTCCCAAGGGGATAGGTTAAAATGCAGAGAGTTAGTTTCCCCATTGTGGTACAATAAAGGGATTTACATACCATCTACATTGCTAAATCAAGACATTCTTATCTTCAGGTAACACAGAGTACATGTCAGATTAAATAATACTACTTCAGCGATAGTTTCAAGGTGTTACTTTATTGTATGTCTGGTTCCATGTCTGTTGGTTTTGCTGTTCTTTTTGCATCTCGTTGCAGATGATGAAGCAGACCGAAAATGTTTTATCATTATCTCCTTTTTATCTCCTCTTTCTTTCATCTTTTCTCCTTTTTTTCTTTTCTGTTTTTCATCTTCTATTCTATTTACATTGCAGTGTCCATATAATCTGTAAAACTCCCCTGCATAATTATAATAAAGCAATTTATTTGAAGCGGAACACTATGGCGATAGCCGTACTGCTCCAATTGTGAAAGTAAAATCTGTTGGGCTCTTTTTGGCATCAAGACAATTATTCTTATTGCCACATCGCCAGACAGGACCGACTACATTTAACCTAAAAAACGTCTAAATGACGTCTGGTTTCATCTACACCTGGGTAGCTAAACATTTATCACAGCCGGGTATTTCAACAGAAAGGTCATCGTAAGCAAGCAGTGAAACTTGTTTAGGGATGGAGGAAGTGAGCTGATGTTAATTTATCACTTTATTTACCGCTGGACCACATTTCAAAAGGACTTTCATTAAAACTATAAAAACTGTTTATTACTTAGACCATTCCAGGAACCCAATACATTTAAATGAAGCTTAGGACTTTCTTTCTGTCCAAGAAGTGTGGTACTAAATACAGCTGGAATCACTTGAATTTAATAGATGTAAAGAACACTTGACATTTACAGTATTTGAACTGGTTTAAAAATCTACTTGAAACTTGTTCTCATGCAAAAAAGAAAAAGAAAAAAAAGGCATAATTGAAAAGAAGATTGTGAGAGGAAATCTGCATGTTTTTAAAAAATTGTCAAGCTTCTGCTTTACATGCATGCTTGGCCTATAAAATGTATCAATACCACTTTTTTTTAAAAACAATCTGTGGTTTAAATGGGAAGCTACAGAAAACAGCGCCCTCTTGTGACTGACGGTGGAAAGAGTAAACACATGCAGCTGCTGTTACATTGAGGTATTCTATACAGCAAACATTGTAATTGAACTTTGATTTTTTTCATTTTTTTGTCCTGATTTAGAAAACTTGTGGTAGATGATTAATAACCACTTATAAGTCATAGACGTGGTGATAGCTATTCACCAAGATTTAGACTTAAACTCACATTTTCCAGCTTTGCCTGTCAGATTAACTTGTTCTAATGAAATCTGTCAACAAAGTAGGATGTAAACAACTCAGTAGCGGGTGTGGTTCTGCTCTGAAGAGGGTGAGGTGTGTCTGATAAACAAACAAAATTGAAATAAGCAATGTCCCACCAATGGCAGGAGGGACACCTTTGTGGAGGGAGAATGAGGCATTAGTTGGGAGGAGGACGAGGAAGTGATGGGAGGGTTATTGAGAGCAGAGCTGCCCTCTCGCCTCAGGCATTGTAAGGAGATCTGTGCTGACCTCTTCTGAGGGAGGGAGCAAACAAGCCGAATAAGCCCTAAACCATGGAGGGGGAGAGAGGGAAAGAGGAACAGGAGGGGAAATGTTGAGAGCAAGGGGTCAGAAGGTGGAACTTACTGGAAGTCTATTGGCTTCAGGTAGTGTCAGTCATTTTTACTTCCTTCTTAGCTGTGGTGAGAGGGCAGGAGGAAGGGTAAGAGGGAGGTACCCTCACATCAGGCAGCTCTGTCTGTTTTTTCGCAAAAGAAAAAAAAAGCCTGCATTGGGTTTGAAAGTGAAACAGGGCAAGACTTGTAAAAGGAGTGCAGTCTGTTGGTCTTTATTCTCACGGTTTCCTGTTCAAGGAAGCCATTTTGTTACTCAGCCCTGGAGGAGCTCACTTATACAAAGTTTGCCATTGTTTTTTTTTTCTCTCTCTCTCTTTCTCTTCCTCTCACTCACAGCTAGGGGAGTTTCACAACCAAGTTTGGACTTTCTACCCTGCAGAGCAACATCTTTGGAGCAGCGGAGCTGAAGGAGGAAGGTGGTGGTGGGACAACAGACAAGAAGGCAGCTGCTCCTCTCTTCGGTGTGGTTTTCCTTCTCTCATGCTTGACATGCTTGAAGACTTGGAGAAGTCAGGCGACATGAAATGAGCGTATGAGAAGAGCTGAAACTGCTTCCTGGATAAGGATTTCTCCCTTGATCCACTGGAGGAGGTGGACGAGGAGTCAGGGGGGAACAGGGACTCTGCTCAGTTTGTGGATACCCACATTTCCTCTCACCCACTAGAGCAGTTTGAATGAGTGTGGTTTTCTAGAACCCCTCACTGCACCTGGGTGTGTGCTTGTCTCTGTGTATGCTGAGAGCTTCAGGCAACCAACGGACTCCAAATGGCTAATGCGAGCCCCTGCATGCCCTCAGGGGCAATGTCCCAGGTGTTCTTCCCTCCTATAGGGGCCTCTCCACCCGGCTCAGCGGTGATGCAGCAGGGGACCCCTATATCCATGCCCTCTATGCCTCCTCAGACTCCTTTTCCAGTGATGGACCTCACAGCAGGACACATTCCTGGTGGGATGATGCCCTCAATGGTTCCTACTCCAGCCGGTGTCTCCTTCATCATCCAGATTGGTCTGACCAGAGAATCTGTTCTTTTGCCCCAGACTGCTGATCTGGCTTATGTGAAACAAATTGCCTGCTCCATTGTTGACACCAAGGTAAGACAAGGCAAGACTGGAGAAGACGGGGAAGTTGTAATGTGAGGGCGTATTGATGTGTAATAACCTCATTTGTTTTTGTCATTTTTAAGAAACCCCCAAAGTGTGAAAATACGCAGCGTTCTGCACACATTATAGCAATTAGTCATTTTTTGCAGAAGAACGTACAAAAACATGGTGCATTCAAGTCGGCTCTGTGACTCGACAAGCAGAGCGAGTATTTGACAGGTTTCATCCAGCTTTTTACTAATGGGGCCACACATGTGCTGTACAGGAAATAGCTACTTATATATATGATTTGTATATGAACTGCTACTTTGTTAGAAATAACTGATATACAAGGGATTCTCAGTCAACAAAAATATAATTGAAAGTTAATCTTCTTCGGTATGTTAGTTCAAAAACTGAAACTCCTAAATTATATTTATCAAAGCATAGTATTAAAGGGTTTTTGATAAAACCAAACTGCAGTGGGCAAAGGAGGTGATGAGCTTCTGCTATTGTCCCTGCAAGGAATGGGACTGTTGTAATCCTTATCCTCATACATCAATGTGTGACGTCTCTTGAAGCTCCATCTTGGGAATCTCCCCCAAAGGATCTCCCCTTTTTTTATTCTACCTTGATCCACTGGATCAAAGCTGCATCTTTCCCTGTTTGCTTTTCACCACACTTCTTTCTTCCACTCAACTTTCCACTAACATAGTTTTATTTAGCCTTCTGAATGGTACTTGTTTCTTAGCCTTTTTTGCTTAGCCTCCTTATAGATACTGTCTAAAATTATCATCTGAACAGAAAAAAAGAGATTTATTAATATTTTACATTTTTTATCTGTAAGTTGGAATCATCTAATTAAATGGTTCAAAGGTTTGAAATGTGTCATTCTGAAATTAATCTCTATAAAAAGTTTTTAAATTGAATTATTAAAACACACTTTTTGATGATAGCCTAGCCTTTGTTGAGATGTATCTATATGTCCAAAAATGTACATGTTCTTTTGATAGGAACCATTATTTGTGTTTTAATTGGGCATTCTATAAAGAAGAAGTTTGATATGGTTCAGTTCCTCCACCTTCTGTTGACAAAAAGTCCTTTTTTACTTTCTGAACATATGTTTTGCATTTCAAGCGTCACTTAGCCCCCCCAGGGTGAACGCTTCATTGATTTAGTTATTCAGTCAGTTATTAACTTTTAAAAGCAGATTGTTATTCTGTTCCAGATGTCAACGGATATGCCACTGTTTAAACATAGATATTTTATTAGTAAGCTGACAAGAATATTAATATTTTAGTATTAAAAGGCTTTTATTATAAAACAATACTGTAACATACAGAGAATTCAAGATGTTTTGTTTTCAAACTTTGAAACCATTTTTTGGCAGTAATCCACCACTATAAACCACTTGCAAGGCATGGCACTGGCAGCGTTATGCTGAGGGTCTCTTTTACTTCCAGTGGTATCCTCACATCCTCCAACTTCCTTTCCAACAAACAGCCTGATATTTAAAACCTGGGCAATATTGGTGTTTAAAACAGAATGACATTTTAAAACACACCAAAGTTTGTTTCTGAACAAATGTAGCTGGCTAACAGTGACCCCCATGTTGTCTTTTGTGCACTGTGCTTAAAGGCTAGCTTTTTGCCAGTGTTAACTAACCCTAAAAGGTCTTTTAAAGGACTGCTAGCTGTTTATTGAGGAATACAGTCATTATAGTCATTTAGTTAAAAGTTAAAACCTCAAAGTACACATGCAGAGACAAGTGTTGGCGAGCAGACAGGTTGTAACATCCTTTCAACAACAGGAAGCAACATGTATTATTGGAAATGTGCTCTTTATTTCAGTGCCAACAGCATAAAAAAGGATAGGTTGGGTAGATGACACACATTTGAATCTATAAGTCAGGCTGGCAGGTTATAATCTGCTGATTATGTCAGCATGTTCAGTACAGCTCTGTTAAACTCACCAGAAATGTGCATTTTCCAGGAAGCAGTGGATGTCCTCTCCAACTAGCACTAACCGGTTTGCTAATGAGTTATTTTGTTTTGGTGCAACATACTTTGTTAGAATGCCGTTTGCCTTTGATGAACCTGGCTGTGCCTCTGCTTACGGTTAATGAGTCTAAACATACAGCTGTGTATCATCTCATGTCCAACGCTCATCAGCTTTAAAATTGTTTGAATGTCTGTTTCAATACGTCACTGCTACTCTCCACCTAAAAAGGCAACGTTAAAACATCTATCCTAATACTGTAAAGGCACAACCTCTGCTTTACCTGATTTTGTCACATTGCAAAAAAAAATGTCAGTGTGTTTATATGACACATTAACGCAAAGCAGCACATGTCAAGTCTGGTGCAACCAATTGCTTAAAGAAGTCACCTAATCGGTAGGAATACTGGAGAACCAACTTGCATGCAGTCCTCAAACCCTCTGTTTTTGTAGAAAGATGAGAAGAAGAAGACAGAAGAGCCACAATGCATGTAGGGAACACTTCAAACATTTCAAAGAAGGTGCAGTAGGCACTTGGAACGTTATTAGAGTTAATAAGCGATGAATGACTGGTAGACAACACTAATCACACCCAGATAGATGCTTTTGAATAAGGAAAATAACCATTATTTTAAATGACCTAGTTAAAGTCCGGGCCTGCATCCGAGAAGGAAAAATTTTATTAACAGACTTTTTCTTTCCACTCTGACAAAGCATACACTTTCTTGTTGAGAATAGTATGCAAAAATGCTAGGTTCTAGAAAAAAAAAAATAAATTAATATCTTTTAGCTTTAAAAATGTTCCAATAAAAAGGAAGTATTGACTCAGAGATGCTGAATACAAATCCACACTTAATGCTTTCATATTTTTATGTACACTAAAAAAAAGTACAAAATAAAAAAAAGAAAGCAAACAAACATATTATGTCCTTTTATTTTTGTTTTGGTTGATTGCATAAAAAAAAACTGTCTAAATTGATAAAAGATTTGAAATGTTGAGCCAAAAATAGATTTTTGAAAACAAGTTTTTAAAAGTTTTTTAAACAATATCTATCCATAACAGATTAATGTTAGTATTAGAAGTTGTTTTTAGGTATTTCTTCTTATTTATTAGGGTTCAAAAATGCTTGTTTTTTCAGTTTCTGCATTTAGATGTTTGATTATCCGGTTCCAAATCTATCCTGTTCACAATCAGGTCTTGGATTGAAAACTATTAAAGAAATTAATGTTGGTTTAGACCAAGTAAAAAATTACTGAGAAAAACAAAAAAACAAAAAAGTTAGTCTAATGCCATTTGTGTTAGGATGTAGTGCTGAAACATAAGCTGCCGTCAAAGTTTATTGGAACGTGTCGGCATCACTGAAGCTGGATTAGAAAAGAGTGACAATCATGGTGTTGGATGACTGGTGTGGAAATACTTCAGCAACTCCACTCCATGTCCAACATCTGTCAGGAATAAATGAAGCCACAAAGGGCAGGCTGTAGGTAGGTGGGGGTGAAGAACATTACTGACCCCGATGTAAAGTCATTTTGGGCCTGATAAGAGCTTTAAAAGGGAGGATAGCAAAAGTTTGTGGTTCCTGAACAAAGCCTCTGATGACGTATCTAACATCAAATTACAAGCCTGTTTCAGTGTCCCATTCAAACAGAGCTTTATATTGAATTTAATCTAGATTTTCATAGAAAATACAGCTGAAAGTAATTATGAATTATTCTACGATTACCTACTAATGATGAGCAGAATCCAGGCTGGTGGCAGAATACTGCAAATGTACCTGTTAATATGAGTCCTCATGCAGCCCTGCTCAGAGTGTAGTTTCTTGAAACCTCTTGATCAACCAAAAGTGAAAAATAATATAGTAAATGTGGTGTTATTTATTGCACAGCTTTCATGTGAATTATCTAAAGGAAAGTAGAGGAGGGTGGCAGGCTTAAAACATTCACAAAATTACTGAAAGCTTTTCTGCCTCACTGTCATATGGAATGGGAGTGAGCAAATTAGGAAGAGCACAATAGGGGTTAATTCTATTCAAAAGCCTTAAATCATTTTACAATTCTAAGTGTGAGGCTTTTTCAAATTTGGATGTAAAAGCATAAAGTATAGCTGTCTAACATTCACATCACTGTTCTGCATATGACTGTGCAACAGGAAAATAAGTTTTAGGGATACATTTGTTGGACTCAAGCTGCATGTCTTTATAGCAATTGCCTTGCTTCTATTAAACAGCTGGGAAAAGATGATGCTGTCAGCTCTTTATTATTCTACATAACCTGCAATTTACAAGATGTTGAAGAATACAAGATGTGTTTGGTTTTAACATGCAAAAATGTTCCGACTCAGGAATCAGAGAGAATCAATGTCAAAATACAACATTGACCTGAATTCTCGTATAACCATTCCAGTAATACAAAGTTTGTCATCCTGACAGTTAAAACTCATATAACCTTGGGCTAAATGAACTAGTTCCCCAAGAACATTCCTCTAGGTTTCTGGAAAAACCTTTTAAATTAGCAGTCAGGTAGGNTTTTTTTTTCTCTCTCTCTCTTTCTCTTCCTCTCACTCACAGCTAGGGGAGTTTCACAACCAAGTTTGGACTTTCTACCCTGCAGAGCAACATCTTTGGAGCAGCGGAGCTGAAGGAGGAAGGTGGTGGTGGGACAACAGACAAGAAGGCAGCTGCTCCTCTCTTCGGTGTGGTTTTCCTTCTCTCATGCTTGACATGCTTGAAGACTTGGAGAAGTCAGGCGACATGAAATGAGCGTATGAGAAGAGCTGAAACTGCTTCCTGGATAAGGATTTCTCACTTGATCCACTGGAGGAGGTGGACGAGGAGTCAGGGGGGAACAGGGACTCTGCTCAGTTTGTGGATACCCACATTTCCTCTCACCCACTAGAACAGTTTGAATGAGTGTGGTTTTCTAGAACCCCTCACTGCACCTGGGTGTGTGCTTGTCTCTGTGTATGCTGAGAGCTTCAGGCAACCAACGGACTCCAAATGGCTAATGCGAGCCCCTGCATGCCCTCAGGGGCAATGTCCCAGGTGTTCTTCCCTCCTATAGGGGCCTCTCCACCCGGCTCAGCGGTGATGCAGCAGGGGACCCCTATATCCATGCCCTCTATGCCTCCTCAGACTCCTTTTCCAGTGATGGACCTCACAGCAGGACACATTCCTGGTGGGATGATGCCCTCAATGGTTCCTACTCCAGCCGGTGTCTCCTTCATCATCCAGATTGGTCTGACCAGGGAATCTGTTCTTTTGCCCCAGACTGCTGATCTGGCTTATGTGAAACAAATTGCCTGCTCCATTGTTGACACCAAGGTAAGACAAGGCAAGACTGGAGAAGACGGGGAAGTTGTAATGTGAGGGCGTATTGATGTGTAATAACCTCATTTGTTTTTGTCATTTTTAAGAAACCCCCAAAGTGTGAAAATACGCAGCGTTCTGCACACATTATAGCAATTAGTCATTTTTTGCAGAAGAACGTACAAAAACATGGTGCATTCAAGTCGGCTCTGTGACTCGACAAGCAGAGCGAGTATTTGACAGGTTTCATCCAGCTTTTTACTAATGGGGCCACACATGTGCTGTACAGGAAATAGCTACTTATATATATGATTTGTATATGAACTGCTACTTTGTTAGAAATAACTGATATACAAGTGATTCTCAGTCAACAAAAATATAATTGAAAGTTAATCTTCTTCGGTATGTTAGTTCAAAAACTGAAACTCCTAAATTATATTTATCAAAGCATAGTATTAAAGGGTTTTTGATAAAACCAAACTGCAGTGGGCAAAGGAGGTGATGAGCTTCTGCTATTGTCCCTCCAAGGAATGAGACTGTTGTAATCCTTATCCTCATACATCAATGTGTGACGTCTCTTGAAGCTCCATCTTGGGAATCTCCCCCAAAGGATCTCCCCCTTTTTTTATTCTACCTTGATCCACTGGATCAAAGCTGCATCTTTCCCTGTTTGCTTTTCACCACACTTCTTTCTTCCACTCAACTTTCCACTAACATAGTTTTATTTAGCCTTCTGAATGGTACTTGTTTCTTAGCCTTTTTTGCTTAGCCTCCTTATAGATACTGTCTAAAATTATCATCTGAACAGAAAAAAAGAGATTTATTAATATTTTACATTTTTTATCTGTAAGTTGGAATCATCTAATTAAATGGTTCAAAGGTTTGAAATGTGTCATTCTGAAATTAATCTCTATAAAAAGTTTTTAAATTGAATTATTAAAACACACTTTTTGATGATAGCCTAGCCTTTGTTGAGATGTATCTATATGTCCAAAAATGTACATGTTCTTTTGATAGGAACCATTATTTGTGTTTTAATTGGGCATTCTATAAAGAAGAAGTTTGATATGGTTCAGTTCCTCCACCTTCTGTTGACAAAAAGTCCTTTTTTACTTTCTGAACATATGTTTTGCATTTCAAGCGTCACTTAGCCCCCCCAGGGTGAACGCTTCATTGATTTAGTTATTCAGTCAGTTATTAACTTTTAAAAGCAGATTGTTATTCTGTTCCAGATGTCAACGGATATGCCACTGTTTAAACATAGATATTTTATTAGTAAGCTGACAAGAATATTAATATTTTAGTATTAAAAGGCTTTTATTATAAAACAATACTGTAACATACAGAGAATTCAAGATGTTTTGTTTTCAAACTTTGAAACCATTTTTTGGCAGTAATCCACCACTATAAACCACTTGCAAGGCATGGCACTGGCAGCGTTATGCTGAGGGTCTCTTTTACTTCCAGTGGTATCCTCACATCCTCCAACTTCCTTTCCAACAAACAGCCTGATATTTAAAACCTGGGCAATATTGGTGTTTAAAACAGAATGACATTTTAAAACACACCAAAGTTTGTTTCTGAACAAAGGTAGCTGGCTAACAGTGACCTCCATGTTGTCTTTTGTGCACTGTGCTTAAAGGCTAGCTTTTTGCCAGTGTTAACTAACCCTAAAAGGTCTTTTAAAGGACTGCTAGCTGTTTATTGAGGAATACAGTCATTATAGTCATTTAGTTAAAAGTTAAAACCTCAAAGTACACATGCAGAGACAAGTGTTGGCGAGCAGACAGGTTGTAACATCCTTTCAACAACAGGAAGCAACATGTATTATTGGAAATGTGCTCTTTATTTCAGTGCCAACAGCATAAAAAAGGATAGGTTGGGTAGATGACACACATTTTAATCTATAAGTCAGGCTGGCAGGTTATAATCTGCTGATTATGTCAGCATGTTCAGTACAGCTCTGTTAAACTCACCAGAAATGTGCATTTTCCAGGAAGCAGTGGATGTCCTCTCCAACTAGCACTAACCGGTTTGCTAATGAGTTATTTTGTTTTGGTGCAACATACTTTGTTAGAATGCCGTTTGCCTTTGATGAACCTGGCTGTGCCTCTGCTTACGGTTAATGAGTCTAAACATACAGCTGTGTATCATCTCATGTCCAACGCTCATCAGCTTTAAAATTGTTTGAATGTCTGTTTCAATACGTCACTGCTACTCTCCACCTAAAAAGGCAACGTTAAAACATCTATCCTAATACTGTAAAGGCACAACCTCTGCTTTACCTGATTTTGTCACATTGCAAAAAAAAATGTCAGTGTGTTTATATGACACATTAACGCAAAGCAGCACATGTCAAGTCTGGTGCAACCAATTGCTTAAAGAAGTCACCTAATCGGTAGGAATACTGGAGAACCAACTTGCATGCAGTCCTCAAACCCTCTGTTTTTGTAGAAAGATGAGAAGAAGAAGACAGAAGAGCCACAATGCATGTAGGGAACACTTCAAACATTTCAAAGAAGGTGCAGTAGGCACTTGGAACGTTATTAGAGTTAATAAGCGATGAATGACTGGTAGACAACACTAATCACACCCAGATAGATGCTTTTGAATAAGGAAAATAACCATTATTTTAAATGACCTAGTTAAAGTCCGGGCCTGCATCCGAGAAGGAAAAATTTTATTAACAGACTTTTTCTTTCCACTCTGACAAAGCATACACTTTCTTGTTGAGAATAGTATGCAAAAATGCTAGGTTCTAGAAAAAAAAAAATAAATTAATATCTTTTAGCTTTAAAAATGTTCCAATAAAAAGGAAGTATTGACTCAGAGATGCTGAATACAAATCCACACTTAATGCTTTCATATTTTTATGTACACTAAAAAAAAGTACAAAATAAAAAAAAGAAAGCAAACAAACATATTATGTCCTTTTATTTTTGTTTTGGTTGATTGCATAAAAAAAAACTGTCTAAATTGATAAAAGATTTGAAATGTTGAGCCAAAAATAGATTTTTGAAAACAAGTTTTTAAAAGTTTTTTAAACAATATCTATCCATAACAGATTAATGTTAGTATTAGAAGTTGTTTTTAGGTATTTCTTCTTATTTATTAGGGTTCAAAAATGCTTGTTTTTTCAGTTTCTGCATTTAGATGTTTGATTATCCGGTTCCAAATCTATCCTGTTCACAATCAGGTCTTGGATTGAAAACTATTAAAGAAATTAATGTTGGTTTAGACCAAGTAAAAAATTACTGAGAAAAACAAAAAAACAAAAAAGTTAGTCTAATGCCATTTGTGTTAGGATGTAGTGCTGAAACATAAGCTGCCGTCAAAGTTTATTGGAACGTGTCGGCATCACTGAAGCTGGATTAGAAAAGAGTGACAATCATGGTGTTGGATGACTGGTGTGGAAATACTTCAGCAACTCCACTCCATGTCCAACATCTGTCAGGAATAAATGAAGCCACAAAGGGCAGGCTGTAGGTAGGTGGGGGTGAAGAACATTACTGACCCCGATGTAAAGTCATTTTGGGCCTGATAAGAGCTTTAAAAGGGAGGATAGCAAAAGTTTGTGGTTCCTGAACAAAGCCTCTGATGACGTATCTAACATCAAATTACAAGCCTGTTTCAGTGTCCCATTCAAACAGAGCTTTATATTGAATTTAATCTAGATTTTCATAGAAAATACAGCTGAAAGTAATTATGAATTATTCTACGATTACCTACTAATGATGAGCAGAATCCAGGCTGGTGGCAGAATACTGCAAATGTACCTGTTAATATGAGTCCTCATGCAGCCCTGCTCAGAGTGTAGTTTCTTGAAACCTCTTGATCAACCAAAAGTGAAAAATAATATAGTAAATGTGGTGTTATTTATTGCACAGCTTTCATGTGAATTATCTAAAGGAAAGTAGAGGAGGGTGGCAGGCTTAAAACATTCACAAAATTACTGAAAGCTTTTCTGCCTCACTGTCATATGGAATGGGAGTGAGCAAATTAGGAAGAGCACAATAGGGGTTAATTCTATTCAAAAGCCTTAAATCATTTTACAATTCTAAGTGTGAGGCTTTTTCAAATTTGGATGTAAAAGCATAAAGTATAGCTGTCTAACATTCACATCACTGTTCTGCATATGACTGTGCAACAGGAAAATAAGTTTTAGGGATACATTTGTTGGACTCAAGCTGCATGTCTTTATAGCAATTGCCTTGCTTCTATTAAACAGCTGGGAAAAGATGATGCTGTCAGCTCTTTATTATTCTACATAACCTGCAATTTACAAGATGTTGAAGAATACAAGATGTGTTTGGTTTTAACATGCAAAAATGTTCCGACTCAGGAATCAGAGAGAATCAATGTCAAAATACAACATTGACCTGAATTCTCGTATAACCATTCCAGTAATACAAAGTTTGTCATCCTGACAGTTAAAACTCATATAACCTTGGGCTAAATGAACTAGTTCCCCAAGAACATTCCTCTAGGTTTCTGGAAAAACCTTTTAAATTAGCAGTCAGGTAGGTCTGACGATTGTCTGATTATGAAAACTTAACTAATGGAGTTCCTGATAATAGATCCATTATGGTAAATGCCAAATGGGCCTGCTCCTCCTCCTGTTTTTTTTTTCTCACTTAAAGAGACTCACTGTTGTTTTTAAGAAGAGTGAGACTCTGAATATCAGAGAAGTGANCTCACTGTTGTTTTTAAGAAGAGTGAGACTCTGAATATCAGAGAAGTGATTGTAAACAGTCAGAATGCTGTCACCGTGTCCATGACAACACAAATGTTTGTAGGTCATGATTTAGTGTCATCTGCTCTTTGCAGTGGAAATATCTTCTATGTTTTTTCTTTCATGTCAGAGATATGTCCATTTCTGATTTATCCAGTTGGTCATGTAATGCGTTTATAATGAAAACGACCATATTTAAACATTTCTACAGTCAGACATTCAGTTTTAAAGCTGCAGTAAGTGACATACCTGGCGTTCCGAGAAATGCACCTTCACAGCTTAA